ATTATCAAACTAATGAAGATAATTATGCCGATGCTTGGAACAGCAATAAAATTAGTGTTTAGTTAGCAATAAAAAAAACAGCTGAATAATCATATCACGAAGGTCAGACTTTTTGTTATGATAATTAAACGATTAAAATATTGATGTCGAATGATATTTGTAATTATCGTTGTCAATTTGATATAGATTTGTTATTGACAGAAGCACTAGGAAGCAATAATCAATTAATCGAGATTAAAATATCAATAACAAATATAGATAATACTTACTTATATCGGGTTATATTCTTTTTGTGTTAAGCGCATAAACAACAAAGGAAAGAAATGAATTTAATTTCAAATATTTCATAATATTCTCAAAAATAAAGAAATAATTCGAAGTATAATTATACGCAATTATAGATAAATATGGACGCGATGTCTCGAAAATCGATACTGATGACGTAGTCTCGAAAAATCGATTTGCGTTCCTTCGATATTTCTATCAACATGGCGGATCAATTTTGTATAATCGAGACGACGCGATATGAGATTGTATTTCCAACGAAAATACACATATATTCGATTTCCGCATTTAAATATGAGGAGAAATCGTGGGATTACCAACGAATGCTGAAGGAAACTCCATAAAAATTCCCCGTTTCAGACAATACGCTAGATTAAACATCGATAAAATGTCATAAATCAAGGATTCATTTGCAATAAATTCATAATTTAAAAGAACTGATTTCAAGAAACTACTATTTTCTAATTAAACGATTTAAGAATGATAATTTAAATCTATTATCGTGAACGTACAGCTGACTTATCGACAAATTGACATGACGTCACGACAATTGATGACAGAAATACTAACGGTTTTAGAGGAACGCGTGCAAATATTTTTATCACAAGGCACTTTCCACTCGACTACTACATAATACAAACACATTTTGCCTGAATTCAGTTAGAGCTGTGTATGCTGTTATCGCAGATGGTAATGCAACTGTCTGAAAAGTGACATGATTATTCGACCTGGATTACGACTTCAATCACGTAGACTTTTCTAAATATTTATATGATACATCTGTTTTGCGATTCTTTCCTTGAAATTAAATCACTATAGTAACTGTGCTTGTTGACAATGATATAATAGAATTGAATAATAACAAACTCTATATTAATTCTAGTTCATTTTCGAATTAATAAAGATTATTTTTCTGACAGTGGTATCATTGATTAATAAATACCTTCGTCTATTCTACCGTAATAAATCATAACCTTTATTCGAATTATAAGCGAAAAATAAAGTATGATATAAGAATTATATTATATAATACAAAACATTCACGTTATAATTTATTTATTTAATTTCCATGAAAATAAACCATTGTATGTGATCAAAAAAAGATAATGTAAAAACCGGCCCTGTTTGAAATTATTGATGCGAAAATTATGAAACGCAATTTCAGTCGAAAATGAAACAATATTCACATTTACGCTTTTATATGCGATACATTCACACTAAAGCATCTTATAAATAAAAGATATAAAATAGCATATAACCTATAATAAATCTCCTTATTAAAATTTACAAAAATTTTACAAGAGACTTGTATTTTTAAACACATATGTAAATAAAGCGCGATATGAACAATAAATACCTCACAACGGAATCAGGTACGAATATGTTCCACCAGGAAGGCCTTTTCTGTCTGGCTTGTGTGTAAAGTCCATCCGTGCTTCCAACCTGTGACGGTGACGGGACGCCAGCGATCCCTTTTCTTCTTTTGCGATCGAGTTTCGGTGGTTTTGCAAGAATATGCCATGATTTTCTACGACCCTTCTTACCCTCAAGGTCCGCTTGTATTCTTTCGTTCTCGAGCAATTCTTGATTTTCCTCGAGGAGATCCTGTGACACGTAGAAAACCGAACACCTTCTGCCACTCTCGCTAGCACGTCTTTTCTCTTTCTGTACTTGTTTCGTATTTTCTTTTTCTTCTACGACGCTGCCGCGTCTTGCTTTCTGAAATAAACTATCTCTTCGCGCCTTTAAATCCTCAAGCACACTGTGCCTTCTTCCTTTATTGTCACGCAATATAGCGTTTGAGTCCCTTCTACCAACAGCACCAATAAGTTTAGCGAAAGACGATTCTTTCTCCATTATAGATGGGATCGAGTTTGTAGATGCGTATTTGGCAGTTGCATGACCGTTGTTCTGTGGCTCGTTACTGATGTACATCTTGGTTTCCATGCTACGTGACCGAATCGATCGAAATCTTCGAAACGAAGCGGACACCAGACTCGGCTAAACGAAGCGTATCCACGTTTCACTATATTATCTAGTAACCAATAACACCGATACACTCGCGACACTATACTAACAACGAAGAATAAAACCACCTCGAAACTCTCGCGACACACTGCACACCGTAATCACCCGAGATCCGCAATCATTTTTGTTTGCAAGGAAAATATGAGAAGGCATGAGTTGCGTACCGTTAAGGCTTGATCGGCATTATTCCATCGCCGGTGAAAGCAGCCACGGCGGCGTACCGAGTGACCGCCTTTTCACTCCTCGTGAAACGTGTTATCGGAACGAATACGCGCGTATATCCAATGAACGCGACTGAACACGAACCTATATCGTATCGAGCGGACCTGTCCGCAGGTATGTGTATACCAAGAACAGCTCAAGTGTGAGATCCACCAACAGATCGTTGACCCAAGAGAATCGTGCGCGGAACCAGCCAACGGTGGTCGACCGACTACCTTCCACCTCGCGCTTTTGCTTGTCGTTTGTTTCTCTATTTTCTAGTAAGTCGAGAGCCCTTGTTGGAAACTCGTTCTCGTCTTTAGAGACGTCAACCGATTCGACCTTTGTTTCGTTCTTAAACCGGCTCCTGGAAGCTGAAATGTATCTGTGAACCATGTATCGAAATGAATTTGATAATGATTTCTCGAACAAAGTGTGAACGTCTCTCACGAAAGAAGATAAACTTTTTCCTTCCAATTGAATTTCGTCTTTCGTGACTTCTTCTCTTTTATGATTTCTATGATGAAACTACGAGCGTTTCTTCCGTCTTCTGTCGAAAGGGGAACGGCTTTTAGGTTAACGACTCGACTTTCTGATAGTGACGTTAAACCACGGTATTCGTTTTCTTCTGAAACCGTGGCAACGAATTGTAGAGAATTTGATTGTCTGGTCCAATGATGCCGACAATGTTGAACACAATTGTTCTTTTTCCCGTCGCGATACCAATGTGACGTTGTTGCAATGCCAATAGGCCAAAATCGAGTGCGCGATCGTGCACAACGAGACACACGTGACACGCGCAATCTTTCGGTACTTTGATGAAACTGTGACAGTGTAGGATGCGCGTCTTGTATAAAAGAAGAGGGAAATAAGTGCGTAACCGGGAAAAAAGCAGGCAACTTTCTCTCACTTTTCCTCTCTTTCTCTTTTTCGTAACTTTACTATAAAACGTATCGGATTGCGGGCACGCGCGCATCTACTTTGCTTACACTTCGCGACAATAGCCGGTTGCGATAAATCGAGATATCAAGGTACACACACTCGAATCGACATGCCGTCACGAGAATCGAGTATCGCAGCGACTAAGCGAGAACGAAGCCGACTGCTTGTATTTATACACGTCGAGGCACTCGGCCTAGACTGTCTCTTCGGGCGCATCCCCCACCTCCAGGTCCGGAGTACCCAACAAGAAGAAACACACATTGAAGACACGACTTTGCGATTCTCTGATCGTTTACAAACAGCCTCTTTTCTTTCGATATATCGTTACGCTTATTCAAAATATAATTACGAGATCGAACGAAGTAGACGATCGTATCGTTTGTTTGAAAGCAAGATGGTGGACATCAAAGGCGTCATTGAAGTGCACCGTACAGATAGAAATTTAAAAGAAAGATAAGTGACTATAATAACCATTTTATAAAAAAACTAATCACAATTTTAAGAAAAATTTATACATATTGTTATAGGACAATGAATATTTATACTACATTATATTTTTTTCATTGTGGTATTTATTTATTTCTGATTTATAAATTTTGAAATGAAAATATTTAAAGAAAATAAAATGATTTTAAGATTATTATAAATTATATAAAATGTTTTAAAAAGTGATAAAGCAAAATAGATAATGCAAAATAAATTATCGATAATACAAAACAAAAGTTAAAATAACCTCAAATCTATATTCATTCATGAATAAATAAAATATTTTTGTTTGATTAGTTTTACACTATATATAGTTTGATGTTTATACATTCCCTTTCTTTTATTCTTTATTTTATATGTCTTTTTTTTATTTTAGTATTTCAAGATATATTTGATATTCAATTTTTGAGTTTGAATGAAATGAAATAGGTTATGCTTGAATTAATATATTAAATTCAAATAAAAAATTGCAAAACATTAATGTTTCATTTAAAAATATGATAAGAAAACCAGTTTGAATGATTATTATGAGAACATATATGATAACATTTCTTACATTTCTGATTCATCTTCTGAATTTATCGCAAAATTTTTCGCATATAATATATTATTTAAAAAAATAATATAAACGATATAATAATACGATCATTTCTGTATAAATAATATCAAAATGTTTTGATTCAAAACAGCTTAAGGATAGATGTAAACATTGTTGATAATATAATTAAATGAAATTCTGATATATCAATTGTTACATGAAACAATAAATAATTTCGAACTCGATGTAAGTATATTACGTTCTTTATTGATAATTTTACGTATTTTATTGAATAAGACAAAGAATTTAATATATTTTTGTGTTATATATTAAACATTTTTACGATTATTATTTCAACAAAAACATTCTAAATTTTTAAAAATTATACAAATATTTGGATCTCGTTCATAAATTATCCTCATATTAAATTTAATTATTTAATACGAAATATCTCTTTATTAAGAAAATTTTTCTCATTGTAGCTTGGAAAAAAAAAACAAAATATTGTTTATTAAAGCAGAGAAACCATGTCTAATGGGCAAAAATTTCTTCCTCAAAATTAATACTTCAACCGATAAGCATGACTCTGTAAATGGGAAAATCTTGTATGTATATACAGGTAAAAGAGACAGTAATTCTTTGATGAAATAGATTTCTGCCAAGTACATTTCTACGTATCTCGAGTTGCGATAAAGATTCTCATTAACAATGATGATAAATATTACAGGTATTCCCCTCTCATTTTCTTCTTGATTAAACATTCTTTATAGGCAAATGAAGCAAAGAATAGGTTGATATGCACTCGAGAGAAAACATAGGAAATTATTAGGCTTTCGAACTATCTACCAACTCGTAATTCATTTCATAATCCAGTTTTAACGATCAGTCATTATTTAACGTCTCTGAATTGACGAGCGACGTTACCTAACAGGGCTACTGATCCATAGATTAATTTTCTTGTGGAACACAATATAAAGTTTGTGCGCTCGAAACTGCGTTCAATTAATTCATTTGTTTGTCGGGAAGTTTCTAATATAGCTTCGTTTGTATTTTAACGAGTTCTATAATAATTAGACTCGTTTGAGAATTTTTACTAAAATTCTTAAAATTTATATATATCTAAATATAAATCATAAGAAAACAGAATTAAAATAATAATTTTATTATCAATTAAGAGAAAGTTTTGACAATATTATTAGAATTATTTATTTTATTATTATTTCTCTAATCTGAACTTTTAAAATATATTTAAATCGAATTATATTATATAAAAAAACACAATATATTTCATGTGTGTGATTCATAATCGTATCACGTGACACTTTTTCGTTGTGATATGACCTAATTTCTTAGGGCAACTAGATGAACTGAACTTTAAACTCGACATCTGGTGTTGTTTATGAATTTAGTTTTATAGTATTAATATACATCAAATTAGGATCGAATACTAAAGTAATGTTTTCTTAATTATAATTGCATTAATAAATTATGAATTCTCCTTGGATACTTAAATCAAATTAATGTAAATATATTGATCATACTGATTATAAATAAATATATTATTATTAATGTTATTAATTTTATTTAATAAATATTTAAAGAATCAAACACATAAAATATTATTATTATCAGTTTTTGCAACATTTAACTCTTAATGATCATTATTACTCATTATAACTCATTGAATGGAATATTTGCAAAAGCTTACCACTTCAATAATTATAACACCATAAATCACATAAATGATAAATTGCCTTTGTCCAATAAACTTGGTTGGCAGTTATGCAAAGCAATTAATTTATCACTACCTTTGAAATATTTACTCTTTATCAGCCATTATATTTGGAGTGTATGTAAAAGTATCACTTTTCTATAAATACAATGTTATAAATTATACGCATGTAGAAGATCATACAAATATAATAATTAATTTATAACTAACTTCCTTTTCAATTACGACACTATGTCACAAATAGTAAATTGAGCTTAGTGAATTATGTAAACATGTATGTGTACATAGCAATTAAACTATTATCTGCTTTTGAAATGTTTAACCCTCATATGATCATTAGTCCCTATTCATTGATTTTAAATCACATACAAAAGTTTTACTTTTCCTATAGAATTCCATAAATAGATAATTGAATGTTGAATTATATATAAGTATTTGATAAAGTTAATTTATTATTATATGCCTTTGAAACATACAACCTTTGATCAATAGTTACCTTAAAGATAACTATAGAGTACTGTAAATATATTGATCTTTCAATCATTTCATCAAATAAATTTAATTCTATGATAAAACAAAGTAAAAATGAGAATAAGTTATATTATATTGGAAAACATACAAAATTTAATTAAAATAATTTTTCAGGATTTAATTAAAATTTTTTATGTTTAAACTCTTTATTGCGTATATTAAAAACTTAAAACTTTTATCGTGGAAGCAATATTTAGTTATCCTCTTCCACATGCTTCTGTCATTCAATAACAACGTAACATATCTGTATGAACAAAAAATATTATAGTGAATTTAATTATATATAACATTTTAAAAAATTTTTCGACTCTATAAAAATTTCCATTAATATTTCTCATGAATCCATTTAATCGATTTTATTAAACTCATTTTTTATAGAACCGATCGCTTTGAGAAACTTGGTTGTTCGAGAGAGACGAGATGATCATCCATGGAAGAACGAAGAGAGTTAATTGGCTGAATCGAATTAAGAGTCAACCGATATTTTCATCGCTGCAATTCTCTAATTAGCCGCGGACGAATTGACCAATTGTTTCCACCAGTTTGCACGTCCGCCTCTCGTTAACGACGAGTCATCGACAAGACAGAACACCATACAATTTTATAAAAAATCTCATCATTCCATTTCAATAAAACTATTTGGATAGATTCATTGTCTTGTATTCTCATCTTATATATTGTAAAAAATTTTTTTTTGTTACAGAAAAAATGATGAAAGAAAGGATTAAATTTGAAATTTTAACATAGAAAAGCCTTGATGCTATTTTTGATAATAATCTATTAATTATTTAAGATAGAATTTACCATACTGATAGAGATGAGAACTTGTTGCTTTTCAATTTGCTCACGTGAGAAATAAGAATTCTAGGTTTGTTTGTTAAATATTGAAATAGATAAGCATGATAATGAATGTGTGCAATTTTAATCAAATAAAGTCTAATCGCTATACGATTATGCAATAAGTCAATAAGGCGCGATGAACGAGCTTATAGAAATTTACGAAGTAAAATGTACAATTGGACACGTTCCAGAAAACGTGAAAGCAGGAAATCATATATCAATAAAAGGTAAAATATTTGAACTCTTCAATAATATTGTTCTGTTGAAATATATGTTGATGAACTTATATATGTTAGTGATTAGATTAAAAAATTAATAGAATGCTATAAAATAGTATAATGGCACTTTCAATAATTCTAATTAAAATTCCAGTGAAAAAACTATTATGGAACAATAGAATTTCCTCTAAAGGAAAGAAGATTATTACAATCTATCAATACTAATAACAAAATTCTAATAATTTCCACAATCTAAGTTCCTTAACCTTTGAAGAAAAAGAATATTTGCAAAACAAGAAAAAAATTTTTCCTCGCTTCATGGAAATCATTTTTCAAAGGAACGATTTTATGCACTGAAGAAAATATCTGTCACTAGCAACGACCTTATCAGTCAACTGCTTATCATCGACCTCACGTAGTTGAAGACAGGTTTATGACTTGACTGCTGGAATCGCGAACAAGTGTATCTCCGTTACCTCAAACGGTTCCTCTTTTCTTAATACCTCTTTTTGACGTAGACACTTTCTTGTTTTGAGAAAACTAAGACAAAGCAGAATATTTGCAAAATATATGCGAAAAGAGACACGATTTTCCGAACGTGATGTAACTATATATTGTCTTGTAATCGCGAAAGAAGATTCGAGACACGTGTGAAGAGAACAAACAGCATTGATTCAACTTCAGAGAAATTTCTTTAACGTCGACACGATGTCGAATTGACAGCTGATGGTATCAAAGTTTAAACGTGATTTAAAATCGCATTGTTTGTTATTTTTATTTGATTTTTCGCTATTTTTATTTTCAGAATTATTCCTTCAGATTCTTTTGAGAGTTCTAGAAAACATTTTTTGTTACAAAATGACTTGAAAATGAATGATCTTTTAATCTAAAAAACGAAAATTTTTGAAAGAAAGTTTATTTATTTTGATATATAATAATATTTAAGATACAAAATTTATAAACTATGCTTCATGATTATGTTTAATTATGAGTGAAAGGATTAAGGAAATCTTTTATGTCTTAATAGAAACTTTACGTTAAACCATCATATCTAAACAAATGGATAACTTAGTAACACCTTCGCCAGACAGATTTCTCGTCAAATAATAATGATATCTTTTGAAACAACAACTTTCATCAACGACAACTTTCACATCGACAAATATAGAATTCCATTTCATAGGATCGAATTCAGTTCGAATTTTGATACGAAGCCTATCAAAACCTGAATAGATTTGTGATAAAACGATTTATCTTGTTATAAAAGTATATCTAAAATCGAGAGAAATATCGTTTCTCGAAAACAGCAATATCATTAGATCCTAAACGCTCGTTAACCTAGCTATCGAAACCGATTTTAACGCTTCTGAAATAAATGATTATGCATGCAAATCGCACGATCCTGCGATTACCACTCGTTACGCCGAGTTGTTCCATCGGGAATGACACGATATCGGCGGTACAATCACGGCCAAATTGCCTTTGAACGATAATGCTCGGAGAAATGACACCGATCTCGGTGTATTCGTGAAAAAAAGTAACGATTTGCGAAGATCAAGGTATCCAAAGGCCAAAACGAAATTTGGCTCGATCCTTGGTTAATTCTGGATAGTGATGGGCACAAGTACATTGCAAGTAATATGGTCTTTCATGAGTAATGATAAAAATGAATCTTTTTTATTTGAAAATCAAATTGGATAACCTCTTATGAGTAAATAGTAATTGAATGAAATGAATAAAATAAATGAAATTAATTTTTTATATTGAAAATGAAATATGATTTCTTATGACTAATTATATTGAAAAATTAATAATTTATGATCTCTTATGAATAATTGAATAATCGAATTCTATGCAATGAACATTTTATATTGAACAATGAAATAATGATCCCCTATAGAATAGAATTCTGGAAAATGAATGGAAAAATGAAATAAAATAAATAAATTAATATTTCACAATTAAATTTGTTCAATCTAAACACAAAAAAATAAAACGTGATTTCTCATAAGTATTAAAATTGAAGATGGAACCTTTATTTTATTTGTATTCGTGTGTACATATTGAACTTCATCCCATCGCTAACTCTGGCCAATTTCCAACGAGAGAACCCTCTCTTAAATCGACGAAAATTACTGGTTACTCAAACGACCCTCCATGAAATGTGAAAACCTGTGTATATTCGAAGGAACCATGTTCGATCGAAGGACGTTGAGAAGACGTGTTATGCAAGAGTCTTCGCATACATTTATATATGTTATAAGTGAAATTTTCTTGAACAAAGAAAAACTGAAATAATTACTGGCTGAAATGCAGAAATCGAGCGAGTAGTATGCGTGCAACTTTCACTCTCGTCTTGCCACGTTCCAAGGAACAAAAATTGATTTGTCGTTCGCCTGATCTGGTTTGCGATTGTTTCTGAGAAACCAAGCACGACAATTCGAAGATATTTCACGAAAAACTGAACAATCAGATGATCTTGAGGTTATCTCAGTGGAGAGATATCTTGTGAACATAATACATGTGGATATTTATGGATATTGTGCTTGATATTGTGAAGAGATATTTTTATATTTTTGTTCTTATTGTAGTTAGAAGGAAAATTAAAAAAAATACTGGATTTTAAGAATTTTATTGAGTAATATTTTGTATGAAATTTGATCGAATTTGAAAGATTTCTTGAATTAAGAAGAGTTTTAAAATTAAAGATAAGATTTCTTTTTCCTTAATATTTTTAATTCTGGGTATAATAAATTTATTTCTTTATCCTATAATATGTGTCATGAATTAAATTATTATTTTGACAAAGATCATTTCGTCAACATAAAAAGTTCTGAATAAGTAAAGAAAAGAATATGGAAAATTGTTAGATAGGATCATATATACGACATAATATGCGTGTGGTTAATAATTTCTTCATTATTAAAATTAGCTATGTATCACGATAAGATCTACAGTCAATAAATTTATTTTGTCAAGATTTGTATCAGAAAATAATATAGCATATAATCACATATTATTATTTTAAAATTTGCATGTGAAACAACATGAAATAGGTATAATTGTGAACTTAGTTACCAAAATTTTAAAAAAAAATCATTTATACAAATGTACTGTGTGTGTAATTTCAAGTGGAAAGTGAAATTGATGAGAAACAATAAAAGTCGTTCGTGAAATGTTTCTTGAAAGCGAAAGTTCGTAAATTTCCTTGCTCACCAAATTTTTGTATCTTCCTTTCCTCGCGAGGGTTTCTTTTAACACATTTCATAATATTGATCCATTCTAAATATCAGAAATGAAAAAAATGTATTTTTAGACTATGTATTTATAATAATATTTTTATTATTTGCTTAATAAAAATATTTTTTTTGTTATGTTTCGTTTCTTATTTTATAAATATATGAATTTGCATTTATTTAATAATTACTTATATTTTAATATTACTTTCTCATTTGATATTAAATTTTTCTGAAAATTTTTTATTTTTCTATTGTAGAAGATATTTTATATTCATATTTTATATTCAAGAATTAAAATGATAAACAGAACTTCAAATTTAAATAAAAAGTATATACTAAATCAATTAATTAAAGAAAAAAGAATTTATGTTCAATTTTCCATTATATTTTCATTTACTTATATTCCAAAGTTGAAAATATTTTCATTTTTTCAATAGGAAATATACTTCTAACAAATGTTAAATTTTTCATTGTTTAGTTTATTATCTGCACTTATTCTTAAAAAATATTTTAATTTATTCAACAAAAAATATAACATTTCAATGATTATCTTGATTAATATAGAGCACAAAACACGAATCGTAGATTCTTATTCAATCAATATTATAATCATTATTTACAATTTGCACGAGCAAAAGCTTAATTGATTTCCCGAAACGATTTCTCGAATTTCGAGAATGTCACGTATTTCTCGAGGGTTTCTCGGAAAGAATTCGATGTCTAGCACGCAAATTCTCTATGATAAGCCATGAGAACGAATTTTGGAATGGTGTCGCTCAAAAGATAAGCCGGCTTTAGAATATATACACTTTTGTTGCGAGATGAATTCAAACGAAAGATGTTATACGTGACTATCCGCACATTTCACTAAAGAAGTCGCGAGTAATCGAATTTACACATTTTCGAGAACGAGAATGTAATGATGTACTTTCGATTCACGCGATTTTCCGCCATTTTGAATAATTTCGATTATTCAAGATTCGATTATTTGAAAAATCGATGAAAGAATCTTTTAAGTGATGAAATAAGAGGTTATGGTAGTTATGCGTAGTTTTGATTCGAATTGAATCGATCGGAATTAAATTAAACATGTTTAATTGTTTGATTGATATTTATTAAATTTTAATTATATAGAATAGATATTTTGTATTAAAAGAAGAAAAATTATTGTATATATATAACATAAATATACAAGATATTATCTTTCTTCAAATTTATTAGTATTTTTCTATGATTATAAATAAAAAAAATGATATATAAAATTGATACGATATATAATAAATTTAATTTTTTATCTTTATCACTTTTACATTTATTGATATAATGAACATTATGAAATGGATTATTAACAGCTAGTAACTGAATTGATAATGAACTCTTTTTTATCCTGTATTACAATAAATGAACGTATTTGACATTTCCTTCTTATCTCATATTTTAATATTTTATAAGTTATTATATAATATACTAATAAGATTTGACTGGAAAAATTAAAACAATCCGTACATAAGTTCTTCTAATATATCCTGTTAATATTTCTATCGTTCATTTCTGATTATTTTTAAAGCTATCATATATCTTTCATGCCAAAAGGTCAATGTTATTTTTACGATTCTTCAAATATGAAAGGAAAGAACTTAATTCATATATATAATAACTTAAATTTTTTT